TAAAACACACAAAAATTCAATAACTATGAAACAAAAAAAGAATAAAATTCTCCAAGCTGTAAAAGTAGCTCTTGTTGTCTTTCATGTTTTTGATTTTTTAATTATTGATTTTTTTATTTTTTGATCTTTTTGAGAAAGAGTCTCCCTGTAGCCCCAGTTGTCTTGGAACTCACTATGTAGACCAGGCTGGCCTTGAACTCACAGAGATCCGCCTGCAAGGTGTAAGCCACCACGCCCGGCTGATTTTTTATTATTTTAATTTTATTTTTTTTATTTTTTATCTTATGTGTATGCATGTATTGGGCCATCTCTCCAGCCCCATGTTTTTTATTTCTTTTAAAACCAGTGAATTTTTAAAAAACATAATATTTTTAGTAATTTTTGAAAATTTCATACATAAATGCTGAATTTATTTATTATTTATTTATTTATTTGTTTATTTAGTGTGTGTGTGTGTGTTTGTGTACATACAAATATGCTGTGACGCACATGTGGAGGTCAGAGGGTAACTTACAGGAGTCAGTTCTTTCCTTCCATAATGTATATCTCAGGTATCGAATTCAGGTTGCGTTTACTCACTAAGATACCTCCCTGGCCCAAAGCAATATTTTTAAAAAATATTTAATTTTTAAATTTTATGTTTTATGAGTGCATTGCCTGCATGTGTGCATGCAATGCCTGTGGAGGTCAGAAGAAGGCACCAGATTCCCCTGAAACTGGAGTTGCAGACAGTTCTTAGCTGCCTTTTGGTTGCTGGGAATTGAACAGTCAGTTCTCTTAACCACTGGGCCATCTCTCCAGCCCCTAAACCAATGATTTTTGTTGTTGTTTATGTAGCATGTTCCTTTTTAGGGGGGCAGGGTCTCTAGTACCACAGGCTAGCTTCAAACTGGTGATCCTCCTGCCTCCACCTCCCTAGTGTTGACATTACAGGTATGCACCATTATGTCCACTACCATGTTCTTGGTGTTTAGCATTGGAGTTACATTCTGTTGGGTCTCTTGCAGTGACAAAAGTTTTCAGGGAATGCTTTTCAAAAAAATTAACAAAAATCCTCCACTAATTATTAAGCTAACTTCAAAATATCACTTCAAAAAATTAAGTTTGGGGGTGAGGAGATGGTTCAAAAATGAAGAGTCGTTGCTGCTCTTGTGACTGACCCAAATTAGGTTCCCAGCACCCATATCAGGTAGTGCACAACTGCCTGTATCTCCAACTTCAGAGAGGCTGGCCCTTCTCTTCTGGCCTCCTTTGGAACCTACACTAATGTGCGTGCGCGTGCACGTGCGCGCGCGCACACACACACACACACACACAGAGATACACACATGTGCACATAATTATAAATAAAGTAAAACTTTTTAAATGAGTTCAAATGGAGATCCTGGCATTGGTGGACAGTACAGCTACCAGAAGACATAGGCTATTAAATAAAAATTGCAGTGTAAATTATGGGAAAGCTCTCTAAGAGTTATCAGGGAAACCTCAGAGGTCTTTAAAACAACACAGGCTATCACTATTGTCCTTGATTACCCACCTACACTGTAGGACCCTATTGCTGAAGACACCACACACTGGCTGCATGACCTAGAGAAGTCAATCTCAAAGCAACTGGGAAATTTCTTCCCTCCCTGCTGGCTAGGTTTCGTAGTTCTGGAAGTTGCTATGCAGACTGCTGGGGGGTGGAGGGGGGGAAGATATTAATGGTCTTACCCAGCACTAGAGCCTACGTGCTACAATACTGACCTACCAGACAAGAAGTACACTCTAGTGCAATGATAGCATAACTGTAACAGGGGTAACTAGCCACTTTTCTGATTTGATTTGAGCGTTCATGCCTGGTTCCATAATCCTGGTCAAAAGCCCATGACTAAGGGAGGTCATGGGGCCTAGAATATGCTATTATTTTACTAAATGTCATATCAAATTGACTTCTAAATATTTATGCTTATACCCATAGACCTGGGCCGCTCTCAACCTTGGTCAAAGGAACTTCTTTTTGGGGTGGATAGCAGTCAGTGCAGAGATGCATAACTGATTAAAATGCTGAGAAGACGGACTGGAGAGATGGGATATTTTACATAGAATGTTCTTTGTAGGAATAGGGAAACATACCAGCATATATTTTATTTTAAACAGTATTATCCTAATGATATACAGAATCACCATTCAATAAAAGAAATAATAGGTAAATTAATAGATCGTGAATCACTTACCTATAGTATTGCTGATGATTAACTTTAATTGTCAGTCTGACACAACCTAGAATCATCTGGAATGAGAGTCTTACTGAGAGATTATCTGGACTATCTACATGGGTTTATTCAATGTGAGAAGACCCAGCCCACTGTGGATGGCACAATTCTCTAGTCAGGAGGTCTTGAACCATATAAGATTGGAGAAATTAAGCTGAGTCCAAGCAAGTAATCATGTATGCATTCATTTGCTCTTTGCTCTTTTCATAATAGTAATTGGTCTTTTTGAGACAGGGTCTCTCTGTAGCCCCAGCTGACCTGGAACTCACCATGCAGACCAGGCTGGCCTCGAAATCACAGAGATCCGCCTGCCTCTGCTGGAATTAAAGGTGTGCGCCATCACGCCCAGCTCTCTCTTTGCTCTTGACTGAGACTATGACTGTGACTCGCTACTTCAAGCTCCTGCCTCTCTGACTTTCTTGCTACGATGAACTATAACCTGGAAGTGTGAGCTAAAATAAACCCTTTCTTTTCTAAGTTTTTTTTTTTTTGTGTCAGGGTATTTTATCACAGCAACTGAAATAAAACTCTAGAGCATCATTCACCATACTGTCATCAGAGGTAACATTTATTTTGAATTTGGTGTTTTCCATTCCCATTATTCGTTACACTTTTGTACTTTCACTTAGAATTAATTTGTTCCTTTTTTTTCCTTTTAAATTATATTTAAGGGGCTAAAGAGATGGCTCAGTGGTTAAGAGTACTGGTTGGTCTTGCAGAAGACATGGGTTTAAATGTGAACACCCACACCGCAACTAACAACTGTCTGTAACTCCAGTTCCAGGTGATCAGATAGCCTCTTTTGTCCTCCATGGGCATTGGAGGTGCACTTACATACATTCAGGCATTACATGCATACACATAAAATAAAAGTAATAAATAAAATATTTTAAAAATTATTTTCAAATAGTTTCACAGTGAAACATGTTTCTATCAACATTGTTTCTGAGACTTATCCATGTTGATAGATCTAACTTCATCTTAACTGCCAACAAGTATTTCATTGCATTAATATTTATTTTTTGATTTTTTTTTTTCTTTTGGAGACAGGTTTTACTATATAGCTTAGGCTGGCCTGGAACTTGCTGTACGCATAACTTCAGGTGGCCCTAAATTCCAACTCACTTCCCTCCTCCTTCCAAGTGCTGGAATTACAATTATATGCCACTACAGCCTGCCTTCAGAATATTTAATGATTCTATTATTAGTTGATCGTGAATTTTCACTTTTGTAAACATCTTTTCAAAGACTCATGTATATATAAAATATTCCTTGGGAATATATTTATGTACTGAATTGCTGGCATATAAACTTTTTGTTTATCAGTTTTATTATCATTGTAAAATTGTGCTCCAAAGGAGTTTTACCACTTTATATCCTCAACAGTGCATTGAAGTTTCACTAAGACTTGAAGTACTGCCAATCTGATATGTGTCATTTGTATATTAATTTGCAAATTTATATATAATTTTTTACATGAAGAAATTAAGCTCAAGTTCTTTGTGTTATCTTTTTCTATGTTCTCTGTTGGTGATGTGCTTCTAATTATTAGGATTATTATTATTTTTTGTTTGTAGTTTTATTATAGAATCTCTTATGTCTTAAGTTATACCTCCTCATGTTAAAGAGCTCATTAGGTTAAGTTTATTTTGTACTGAGAAACTAAATAAAAATTGAATGCTTTTCTGATTTTCCCCCCTTCTTAAACATCCTTTTTTTTCCTAGAAGAAAGATTGGAGTCTGGTATCTAGTTGATAATAGAACAAAGCAGCGAGAAAGTAAATAATCAGAGATTTAGATTGTAGAAATTCAGTTATTAATATTTATTGATTTTGAATCAGTAAAGCAAATATCAACATTTTGAAAAATCTCACCATTTGATTTTATTATTTGTGTAGGATAGTTATATTTTATCTTCTATGTCCTATTTTTAAGTAATTTGAAATACTTTTCTCTGCTTTACTATCTGATTCATTTAATCAATTCCTAAGAAAATTATGTAATATTTACCTGTGTTGATTTCTTCCTGGATACTGTGACATCAGCATATTATTTTAAACATATCAGGAGAGTTCAATTTTAATTAGGATATAAGATGAAAGCCTCCTTTGCTTCTAGGGGAAAGATAGTTCTGGTAGAATTTTGGACCTAGATGAAAGTATAAGAAATGAATAAGATTTGATGCATTATTTGTGTAAGGTATTCTAAAAAGGCTAAAATGTTTTCTTTTTACCTAGTAATGTCTCTCTTTTTGATCTTTAGTAATTATCTAAATGACAGATATTCTCAGAAATCAAAACTATCTGCAGACTGAAGTTACCTAAGAAGATATTACCATTTTGCTAATTTAGTTGATACTTTGATTTCCATTGATCTCTAATATTTAAAACAAAAATGACAGGGGTGGTGGCATAGTTTATTTCCTTAATTTTAGGTGTTGACGGGATCAGGCATTTGCCCTAATGTGTAAATTAATCTAGTAGAAGTAAGGACTTTATTTATACATAAAGTGTGTGTGTGTGTGTGTGTGTGTGTGTGTGAACTACAGGTGTGTCATTTGAAATTTTTGCTTTATTATTAACTATTTATATTTATTCCTAAATTTAGCTGGCAAAAAATAAATACTGATATTTAGAAAAGAAATATAAACAGCAAATTTCATCTCAAGCTTTCTTTTGACCAGTACTACTTAGAGTAAAATATGAACAAAAATTAATTTTCTTTTCTTTCCCCCTTTTTGTTTAGTGAGTGATAGCTGCTTCAGGAATCTTGCAGAAGACCGCAGTGGGATAAATCTTAAAGATCTTGTCCAAGATCCTTCTTTGTGAGTATTTGGTTTCTGCTACTAAGTATAATTCTTTTCTAATAGTTTCTATTACATTTAGTGAAGTCTGATTTAGTTTCTTGTAGGAATGGAAGAAGCTTTTGAATGGATAATGTCATCATGAAAGATTGACTTACACGGCTCTAGTAGCTGGTGATATCACTATGGTAGTAGATTGTGGGCAGGGGAGATGATTACTAATTGATTTTCTTGGGGAGATTAGAGTAAATTTGTTCACATCAATTTTAAGTTTCTTTGAATATATTAGTCTTTAAATTAGAAATATAAATATATGAAAAAATTATATGTAGTTGAATGTATTTTGTCTGTCTAATAATGTTCCATATTAGAAACATGCATGACACAGGAGGTTAAGGGTTTTGTAAACTCAGTGTATCTTTTTATTTCTTATTTTTTGGTTTATTGAGACATTTTATATTTTATATTTACTGACAAATTAATAAATTATCTTTCATGCCTGTTATAGTTTTTCAGCAAGATCACTTTTTATCTTTAAGAAAAAGTCAAAGTCACTTAAGTGAGGAGCAGAGCAAAGATAATTAAGTGCCGTCAGATGTATTCATTAACAATATATAATGCATGCAATAATATATGTTAAGATAGAAAATCAGTCTTCCAGATCACATGTAATCGACCCTTCACAAGTTTCACTAATAAACCATTAAGACTTTTATGCGGAATAAAACACAGAATGTCTTGAAACAGAAGATTATTGACTCATTACTAATTGACCAGTATTTAAAAACTAATATACCAAGGAGTGCAGAAAATGTACTTCATAAGGAGTTTCCAAACTCAGTCTCACTTCTTCCCTTTTATCCATCTCTCTTCCTTGATTAAAAGGCTTGTCAATATTTTTCTCAAGGATACTTGTTTTTATGAAATTGACAGTTGTCCTTTCAATCTTATAAAATCTATCCCAGAATATAATTATTTTCTGCAGAGAAATATACTAAGTAAATAAATATTCAATAAAATTTATTTGCATCATGCTTTATCTCTCTTATGGATATAGCAGGAAACTTTGTGATTTCTTCAAAAGATTTCATACATTTAAATAAAATATTCTATATGTGTTTAGTGGTATATAATAATGAAAAATACGATGAAAAGATTTTATTTATATAAAATAATTACACTTGAATTACTAATGGTAATAATGAATTTTAGTATCTAAGAGAATTTAGTACCTCTTTCCATAGTGTAAAATAATATTCATCATTCAACCTACCACTAAGTTCTAAACTTTATTTTAGTACTCTAAGCAAAAGTGACTACTTCAGTAAATGAAAGAAAAATTCTGATTCGCAGTTTTGAAACAGCCAGGTATTAATTTACCATCATTCTCTTTTAATTGGTATTAGCCTCTGAATATTGGCATTCATCTGCTTTGTGAGACTGTTAGAATTCAGGTAGAAATAATTTATTTTTGTTCTTGTCCCCTTGGATATGTAAAAACTTTTTCTTTACTAAAAATTGTAAATGGGCATGGCTGTACATACTTTTAATCCCTGTACTCAGGAGTCAGAGGCAGGAAGACGTCTGTGTGAGGCCAGCTTGGTCTATATAGCAAGTTCCAGGCCAGTTAGAGTAACATAGTAAGAACCTGTCTCAAAAAAGAAGTTAGACTAGGGAGCTGGGGTGATAGCTCATTGGATAAAATAGCTTGTTGAGCAAGTATGATAACTTGAGTTTAGATAGCCATCAACGATGTAAAAAAAACCGGGCATGGCCATATGTACCTATAGCCTCAGCTCTGGGCAGGTTGGAGATTAGAGGATCACTGAGAACGCTGACCAGTCAACTTAGATGAAAATCTGCGAATTTCAGCTTCAGTGATAGACCATGTCTCAGGGGAATAAAGCAGAGAGTAATAGAGCAGGCTACTGGAAGTCCTCTTCTGGGAGAGCCTGTGCACACATATGCACACATACATGCTTGCATCACACCATCACTAAACTCACCCCACTCCACTTCCCAAAAAGAATGATTAGAATATTTCATGAATGCCTGGCATTCATATTTTAGAGGTAATATTTGTTCGTTAGAACCCTCTTTAGGGAAGGAATCGCCAGTGTAGAAAAAAATCCTTTTGGTTGTTTTTTTGTGCACCTCCCCTTATTGCTCCCCACCCAATTTAATGTATTCTCTCTATATAATAAGGCCTATGCAGTCTAATTTTTTTCCTAAATGTCCTTCAGTGTGGCTCCATCCACTGTAATTCAGTTGTAATTTTCACCTAAGAAATGATTCATGTGCAGGCATTTTTTTAAAAAGTTTCTTTTTCTGTCCCTGTTTGTTACCATAAATCCCAACTACTTTTCATTGATCATATACTGTGATTTTGTGTGAAGGTGACATATTTTGTGTTCCAAAATTAACCAGATTGTATAGGGAAATAAACTTTTGATCTTTTTCTCTCCACAATACTCTGTTGAAAAAAAAAATCATTGTCATTTGATGAGGACTCCAGATTTCTGTAACAGTTATTGAAATTTCTTACATGCAGTTTTAACAAGAAAGAAATTATTTTAAAATATGTATGTTGAATTGATGTTTTTATGTTAATGTGCATTGCAGGTTTGTATTTTTATTTACCTTCCTGAACTGCTGATACTGACAGGAGTTGATGTTAAATAAGGATTAAGCACTTCAAATATCAATACTGTTAGAAAGGAAGACAGAATAATAGAGGAGAAAAGTGGACTGAGAAAAACCCAGGCTTCTCTGCATTGTAACACTCAAGAGTATCTTAATCACATAAGTGAGCAGATAGAGAGTTTCCATAGTCAAAGTAGAGAAATAAAACCAAATCTAGTATATATACAAAGTGAGGTATGAACCAAAAGTAAATAAGAGCTGAGAGGGCCTAAATTTAATATGATAGGTACTCTGTGATTTATCAGGACTATAAAATATGTATCCAAAGATTTTATCCATTGCAGTAAAGCAAATTACTCAACTGGAATGACTTGGGTGAGCTATTGTTTGAATGTGATCAAGGAGGAATGCCAAGGCAGAAAAGGAAAATGAGAAAGTTATATATCTTACAAGATTATTTTGTCTTGTTACTAACTTTAGATCTTTGTAATAATGGAAGCAAAATACGACATGTGGCAAGGTTGAGATGAAGGGCTATCTAATGATCTCTTTTTCCTGGGTATTTTTGTCTACCTCAATCTTTTGGGTGTTAAATGTAAAACCAAGTAGAAGAATTCAGCGCTCATTTTAGCTGATTAATATGTCTGTTTGAATTACCACTTTATATGCATACTAAATTTCTAAATAAACAAGTAAAACTTTTAATAGCTTGTGTATGGTTATGGATATTTTAAGGTTGTATCCTATGCTCTATGTATAGTTTGTCAATTTGTATTGTGATATAAGACCTTTTTCAGTTTTGATGTCTTCAAGTTGAGCTTGATGTTATCACTGTATTAGAAATAACATCAAGATACACATGCATTTCATCTCTATAGGAAGTTATTCTTCACATGATGCAATTTAACCTTTTTCACTTTTGGTTGAGAAATGCTTATTATTTAAGTTATAAAACCACACTGTTTCCTTTGGAAAGAGCTGTGATATGAAAAAGATACTTTATATAAAGCACTTTATATTAAGCTATGATCAGTTGTGTTCTTTAAAAATTTTTTTTAATGTGTATGATCCAAAGCCTGCATGTATGTAAATACAGCATGTGCATGCAGTGCCTACATAGGCCAGAAGAGGGCATCAGTCAGATCCTGTGGAACTGGAGTTAAAGATATTTGTTAGCCATTATTTGGGTACTGGGAACTAAACCCTGGTCCTCTACAAGAGCAGAAGGTGCTCTTAACCGTTGATTTATTGCTTCAGCCCTTCAGTTATGTTCTTTATAGATTTAATTCTCAGTACTTTCAAAACCATTATAGCTATAGGCTATGAATGAGACAAACTATATCACCAACTTTAGGTTTTAGAATTCTTATTGCTATTTCTAACTAGCAAAATTATTTGAACCCAGACTCAATTATAAACTTTAAAAGCTTTTTAAGGGTCTAAAAAGAAAACATTAATTTAAAAGATGTATAGAAATGTGTTGGTATTACTCATCCTGTTTTCGATTGAGTGTTGGGGGTATGGCTTTTTGAGTATTGAGTGAGTATAGGGTATGACTCATTTAATTTATAAAAGCTTTCAAAATTTTATGAATACCTTAGTCATGCATTTTGTAAGGCTGAAAAAAGTGCTTAATTGATAGAACTAGCAATTTATGAATGTTAGAAATATAATTCATAATATGTTGTTAGTAACATTCTGTATAGTTAAATAGGAAAACTTTTTCTTGTACATATATATCAGATTTTTATGTATTCTTCCATCAGTGGGCTCTTGAATAGCTTCCATGTTTTTGCTTTTGTGATTAATGTTCCAATGAACTAAGTGTACAAAATACCTCAGTTGGATACATATTCAGGAGTGGAATTGCTGCATTATATTGTTATTCTAATTTTTTAACGATTTGAGACTCCATAGCAGGTGTACTATTTTACATTTCTACTAGCAGAATAAGAGGGTTCCAGTTTATCCACATCTTTGCCAATGCTTACTATGATTTTGTGTTTGATAGTAGTCATCCTAATTGGTGTGAAGCGATTACCCAGCATCCTAAGACATTTTCCTGGTTTGTTTATTTGTTTGCTTATTAATTATTTTGATTTTTTCTGGTTTTGTCAAATGTTTTATTGAGTGTAGACATCTGGAGTACTGTAAAACATGCATTATCTGTAGATTCAAAAAGGAACAAGCCACAGAAACAGTGAGGACCATTATTTTGATTTTAAAAAAAAAAAAACTTTAAGCTGGGCATGGTGGCACATGCCTTTAATCCCAGCACTGGGGAGGCAGAGTTCAAGGTCAGCCTGGTCTACATAGTGAGTTCAGGTCAGCTGGGACTACAGGGAGACCCTGTCTCAAAAAAGACAAAAAACAAACAA